TGCAAGACACGCCTGGTTTCTATTCAAATGACCTCAACATGTCTGTTCCGGAAGCGGTGGAGTACATTGCTGCCCACGCGGCCGGGTGGGAGCGTCTCAGCGGCAGGGAATGCTTGCAGAAGTACGAATATTGGGTCAACGTCGATAAGAGACGGCACGTGGTGGCCGTCATGTCTACGGATGATTGGGACGGCGAATTCCTTGACAGCCTCTCCAGCGTCTGGTACGCCGGCGTCTGTGGCTTTGAGGCAAACAAGCAGGGTCTGCCGTGCGGCGGTCTCACCCTCGGCCTGAACGTAACCTCAGATAGCGTTAACGGGACGTACGAGGGTGTCTCCATCGTCTCGGACAACAGGCCGAGAGTGCCCACCAGAGGAGCATCGAGCAAGGCCGAGATCGACGGCATGGTGGACGAGCACGACAACTGGATCATCCCATGGCATGCAAGGGACAACCTCCACAACACCCCGGTGCTGAGGAAGAACCTGACCGTCAAGTACTGCCTGTCGGAGCCGTTCCCGACTCACTGCAAAGCCCGCGTCAGTAACACGCTGTTCCTCGCCATCTGCCTCCTCGCCCTCGCTGTGAGCGCCTTGTGCGCGGTTGCCTTGCGTATTCTCTGGGGCCAGGACCGCCTGGTTGCCATCGGCGACGCCGTGGACTCCTTCATACGACGCCCGGATATGACGACGAGGGACATGTGCACCCTGGGCTGGCGCGACTTCTCCTCGACCACCATCGAAAGACTGCAGAAGCCGAAGCTGGAGGGCTGGGTTCACAGCCAACGACAATACGTACGGCGACGAGGACGCTGGGGAGATTCCGTTCACGTCTCTGACTGGGTGAAGTTGCTGTTGCCCGGTGGCGTAGGCTTCGTCATCTGTCTTTTGTCCTTGATTTCCTTCGTTGAGGCAGGGTGAGAGCACCTCGTGTGTCATTCTGAACCGCTTTGCTAACAGGCGGCTACCAGGGGCGGATGGCAGAAGGCGCTTTCTGCGAGCATTTTTGGGCAGAATTCCAGCAACCCCATCCTCATGATGAAGTATCCGTCCGAGAATCTGCGTGCCTTCATGGTCATGCTGGCTTCCCGGCCCATCGGGGCCTCGTTGGTCGCCACCATGCCACAGCTTCTCCTGGCCATCCTGCCCCTGATCTTGCACCACACGTACACGCGCATGTTCATCGCCAGGACATGGTCTTCCTACGCCGCGAGGCTCAAGACGCTGCGTGTCAACGAACCCAGGGGCGAGCAGAGAGAAAACCATTTCTTTGAGATTCCCTCCAAGTATTTCCTCAGCTTTGTAACCATCGGGACGTTGACCCGCTGGCTGTGCTCGAATGCAATCTACGTCATACATGTCGAGTGTAAGTCAACCCAACCAACCCCCCCTATGATGCCGCTGACCTGTTTTGAAGCATTCCATGCCGACCCGTCGACCGTTGAACCGTACCATCCGTACGTCAACGTCTTCGTCTCTCTCAAGGCGGCGCTGGGGACCATTATCACGCTCTTCTTCATCCTCGTGACTCCCATCTTCATGGCGCTCATCCCCCTACCTGGCGAGTCTGTTCTGGTCGGAAGCTGCTCGGCGGCCATATCGGCAGGTTGTCATGTCATCGAGCCGGAACATCTGCAACGAAGGACACTAGGTGAGAAACGGCCGGAGCTTGTCCGTCTGGAACTAGATACATCCATGGCCAAGGAAGATGAAAAAGTCAAGGTGTCTTCAGTCGAGACCGATTATGAGAGTAGGCCCGAATATGATTGGAGAGCCGAGCTGGCGGAGGGGAGGATTCGATGGGGTGTTTTACGGGAAGAGCGGTCAGCAACAGACCGTGAAGGTAATTTGGAGGGTTTGGCCCAGGTCCTTTCGTTCGGATCGGAGGAGACGTATCTTGGGAGTCCCAGAGAGGATGAGTTTTATGGCGGCACGAGACTTTGAGAGTCTTCATAGCGACCCTGCCCTAACATTTGGCTTATGGACTTTGGCGGATGATTGAGCTGAACATTTGACTTCTTTTTGTTTGGAAATATCTGACCTGTGTAAATTAAACTCCTGACCCAGGGTTGCCCGCTAGATTTTCTTTGCAATCCTTCACAATCCTTACTTTTGCAGGGGCTGGCCCATACCACCGTACGTAACCATCTTCGTGATCTGGTACTCCGAGATGCCATACAGAGATCCCTCCCTGCCGAAACCGGACTCCTTGACACCGCCAAACGGCGCGGCGGGGTCCGAGATGAGACCCGTGTTGACGCCGACCATGCCGACCTCGAGGTGCTCCGCGACGCGGTGCGCGCGCTGGATATCGCGCGAGAAGAAGTACCCCGCCAGCCCGACGTTGGTCGCGTTGGCCAGCCTGACGACCTCCTCCTCGGTCTCGAACGCGAACAGGCCCGCGACGGGGCCGAAGGTCTCCTCCTCGGCCATGGCCATGTCCTTGGTCATGCCGGTGATGACGGTGGGCTCGTAAAAGTTGGAGCCGAGGCCGTCGATCTTGTGGCCGCCGACGACGACCTTGCCGCCCTTCTTCTCGGCGTCGCGGATGTGCGCGTCGACCTTGTCGATGGCGCGGTCGTGGATGAGGGGCCCGTGGGTGATGCCCTTCTCGAAGCCGTTACCGACCTTGAATTTCTCGACCTCGGCTGCGAACTTCTTTGCGAACTCGTCATAGACGCCGCTCTGGACGTAGATGCGGTTGGCGCAGACGCAGGTCTGGCCCGAGGAGCGGAACTTAGAGGCGACGGCACCGGCGACGGCAGCGTCGACGTCGGCGTCGTCGAAGACGATGAAGGGGGCGTTGCCGCCCAGCTCGAGGGACAGCTTCTTGAGGGTACCGGAGCACTGCTTCATGAGCAGCTTACCGACGTTCGTGGAGCCGGTGAAGGAGATCTTCTTGATGGTCGAGGAGGTAGTGAGGGCCTCGCCGACCTCGGGGGTGTTGTCGAGGGCCGTGACGACGTTAATGACGCCCTTGGGGATCCCGGCGCGGTGGCCGAGCTCGGCGAGGGCGAGGGAGGTGAAGGGGGTCTCGCCGGGGGCTTTGCAGACGACGGTGCAGCCCGAGGCGAGGGCGGGACCAATTTTGCGGGTGATCATGGCAGCGGGGAAGTTCCATCTATAGAAGTCTCAGCGTTGTGAATGAAGGGAAAGTGAATGAGTCTGGGAACATACGGGGTAATGAGACCGCAGACACCGACGGGCTCCTTGATTGTCCACACACGGTTTCCGGGAACAGAGGACTGGATGGTGTCGCCGTAGATACGAGGCGCCTCCTCGCTGAACCACTCGAGAAAGTTGGCGGCGTAGGTGACCTCGCCCTTGGCGTCGGCGACGGGCTTGCCGTTCTCCCAGGTGATGAGGGTGGTGAGGTCCTCGGCGTTCTCCATCATGAGATCGTACCAGCGGCGCAGCAGCTTGGAGCGCTCGCGGCCGGTCTTGGTGCGGAACGTCTCAAAGGCCGTGGAGGCCGCGGCGATGGCGGCGTCCGTGTCGGCCTTGGTGAACTCGGGACATGTTCCGATCTTCTCGCCGGTTGCCGGGTCTGCTCTGGATCAGCCTCCGGGACCGATTGCGGGGTTCATGTTCATGGTGGGATGGACGCGACAAACGTACCAGTGACTGCGAAAGTCTTGCCAGACTTGGCCTTGATCCACTCGCCGTTGACGTAGCAAACGTCCTGCTTCAGCAGCGACGGATCTTTGAGCTGCAATTGTTCAATATCAGTTATCCGGGTCCAGGTAGGGCGGGAGCTATGTTCGTGTGGAGATGTACCTTGGGAACCATTGTTGAGGCTGCGCGGAGTGAGAAGGGGATGAAGGGTGTCCGGATAGATCTGAGTGAGGCTCTCGCGACGAATCTCGACGCCGGAGCCACGGCTTTTTGTAATGCGATAGGCATGGTGGAGAGCCGAGGCAGGATGGATGACGATGAAGAAGCTCTTAGCTCGCACAATGGTTGGAGCTGCGGAGATGGGATGCGGGGAGGTTGTAGTGGTGGTGGTGGTGGCCTTTGGGTGATCTGGGCGTGCTCAAACACTCCTGTACTCCCGGCGATGCCTTTGAGGGAGGTCAATTGGGGGTTATGATGTGTTTATGATGAGTTTTTCACACTCGACAACGCTCAATGGCACTTATCGCAAGAGTTGTAGTGTTTGAGCGACAACGGAGAGCTGCGAGCTGCCATTCCAAGTGACGCTCGATGACGTCCCCCCCACATCAACCGGCCCGGTTGTTAAGGGACCGGCAAGTCCGCGCTAAGATACGGTATCGCTCAGGCAGACTGCCGGGGGCTTGATACCCGCGGGGTCGCTAACAGATAACAATTACTCAGTCCAGGACACTGATGAGGACTCCACTAGAGCTCCAATATGCTTCAGCTTTTCAACACCTCCGGACGCCACACCGAAAGCTTCAAAATCATCTACTGACAGATAGATTTTTATTTAACGCACCCTACACCATGCTAGCCTTTTAGCCTCCGTATGACATTTTTCCGAGTAAAAAAAGACTCAGCTGGGTCTTTGTAAACCTTGAGCTGCTTCAATCTAGGCCGTTCGTCTCATGTTCCAAGACTTTTTGAGACAGACGCCAGAATGAGAGCTTCCCATGACCCTTTGCAGGGTGCCATTTGACATACATCTACAGCCTCACTGGCCTTGGTCTCGCCATGTTTCTCGCCATGCTCCCAAGAAAGGATCTCGGCCTTCCCCGCTCGGAGAAATACAAAGCACCCCAGTCATCCTGGAAGCCAAGCTCTTCGTATTGCCATTCAGTGGTGATCTCGCCCCGTTTCTGACAGCCCGGCCGACCTGCATGCCGTCATGCCCACAGCACCGTTGCCCCCGCGCCTTCCCGCCAGACTGAAGATGAAAACCCGTTGCTTCCCCGCCTCCGCGTGCGAGTGTGGTACCCGATGATTGATCATGCGGGGAAGCTTATTGCTACCTTCCACCACCTCCAAGCCGAGTGTCTCTGAAGCTGTTTCTTAGCTTTCGTCATGTCGGCCCGCGAGACTATAAGTGCTGTGGCCTCGGTCATGAGCGATGAGCTCTGGTGTCTCTTCGCCACATACATACCGGGCGTCAACATGATCAAAGGGCCCCGAACACTGCTTTCCGCCGCGGCCTTGGCGCCGAGAGCCTCCGGCCTCAATCCCGTCCCGGGACCTGAAAGTGCCAGTGCCGTCTTCGACGCCTTTCTAAGTTACTCGCTTGAGTTTGGCTTCTTTCCAGATTTTGCAGGTAGGCGTCAGATCACGAGAATTTCCAAGGGTGGTGCTCACTAATCTGCCAGGAAACAAGTCCTCCCCCAACACCTTCTCGGACAACTTGTTGGTGAACTTGGGCAATTTACAGGGCACTCGGCCTTATATTCGAGTTGGTGGGAACACACAAGACTACGCCCTCTACGACGAATCACTTCCGTACGCCGTCAACGGAACCTACGATTTCAATCGATCCAAGGACTACCCGACCACCATCCATATAGGCCCGTCATTCTTTGAATCTTACAGTACTTTCCCGGATACCAAGTTCACCCACGGCTTCAACCTCGGGCTAGGCGCGAATCGCTCAGAAGGATGGGAGACTCTGGTCGCCACCGTGCCGCTAGCCTGTAAAGCCATCGGCGTCGACAACCTCGATGTGTGGGAGTACGGCAATGAGCCCGACCTCTTTTCCACCTCAGCCCAAGGTCCCGTTCGGCCTCCGTCGTGGAACGAATCCATTTATGTGGAGCAGTGGCTCAACGGCACCCGGGAGATCGCATCCGTCCTGGCCGAAGCTTGCCCCGAGTTCCCGGCCCCAGTGTTCATGGCCCCTTCGAACGGAGGAACAGGAAACAGACTCCGCGCCCCGGCGCAGTGGGCTGCTGGACTGAACACCGACAACAACATCGCCCTGTTCTCAAGCCACAACTACATCAGCGGCGCCGAAAGTCCTGGAGTTACTTTGCAGGGCACTTTGATGAACCATACCCGGACCGTCCAATCTGTTCAAGCTCATGAGAGGGAGTACGCCAACATCACGTCTCGCTTCGATGATGTGCCGCCGCAGATCCTAGGAGAGCACAACTCGCTCTACAACCAGGGCAAACCGGGGTTGTCAAACTCGTTTGGTGCGGCTCTTTGGGGCATTGACTTCAATCTTTATGCTGCCACGGTTGGCATCAAGCGGGTTCACTTGCACATGGGCACTGATTATCGAGTACGTCTTGTTTCCTGAATAGGAGAACATCGCTGACACGAAGCAGTATGCGAGCTGGCAGCCAGTCAGTACAGAGACGACATCCATCGGGACCAAGGCCCCCTATTATGGCAACATCGCCATCGCCGCCTTCATCAATCCGGGCCTCTCCTCCGACCCCGTCTCTGTCGTCCACGTCCCATTATCAGACGACAACGAGAGGTCCTCCGCTTACGCAGCCTTCCAAGGAAGCGATCTGACGCGTGTGCTCGTGATCAACTTGCAAGCATACAACTCCACACTCGGGGGTACCGGTACCAGTCCGGACCCTGAAGCTCCAGAGCGGCCGACGTTCTCGTACGCCTTTGAGGTCCCCTGGCAAGATGGCACGGCGAAGGTTCAGCGGCTACATGCGAATGGAAGCGACGCCGTCTCGGGCATAACGTGGGATGGCTGGAGTTACAACTACGAACTCGACGAGGGTAGGCCTGTGAAGCTTGATAATGTGACCGTTGGCGAGACGGTAGAGGTCAAGGATGGTCAAGTACAGGTTGAGGTAGCTGCGAGTGAAGCCGTTGCATTGAGTCCTGTAGTAGGATGCAGCAAGGTCTTCTAGTTCCAGGGAAGAATTGAGAAGATATTATGAGAAAGTTGGTTCTAACAGGAATACCGTAGGCACTGATACTAAAGCCTTATCGCGAATGAACAGCCTGACTGAGCTACGGGAGATTTGAGATCTGACCAAGAAATTCGATGCGTACCTGAGAACTGAAGTACGGCTGCTGACGTTCAAAACGCGAGACTGAGGCCTATCCGTTTACTCGTCCCGAACAACTGTGTTTGGAGGTGTGGCATGTGTGGAGCGCCAATATGTCAGCACACATATTGGACTAAATATCTGGGAAGCTCAAGCAGTCTGAAGCTACTGGGACGAGAGCAGTGATTAACACGTTGGTAGAGATTTAGGTATTCAATGTTCCAAACTCCTGCCCGTTTTGAGGCTGTCACGCTGCAAGTAATAGAAGTTCCAACGATGTAGATTCGGTGCTCTGTAACAAGGCACAGGGCGGCGTGCGCTCTCATACCAACAAATCAATGTCAAATTCAACTTCTACACGAGGGCTTTATCTCAATTGCGTCCTCGATCATTTCCTTCCAGCATGTGCTCTTAAGCCTTCATCGCCGACGACCTCAATCGGAGCATCAGAGAGGAGTCAAGAAGCCAATTATATATTGCCTGCTTTTCTTTCCAGCCAACATCAACACATGTTATTTGATGTGATCAAAACAGTGTCCAAAGTTCATTTTCCCTCGGTGTTTCTTACATCAGCCACGCAAAACGGTAATCGCAGCTTATTTCATGATCCAGTGTGACATTAGCCACACAACTACGCCTCAAAAACCAGCGGAGTTCTTGAAAGTTGGCCCCTGCCTAGACTGGCTAGCGACACATTGTCTCGGCTTAGAGGTTGTCGACGTACTTTTTCATTTTTATCTAAGTATTGTCGAAAACGAGGCGGTCTATTATGACTGTAGTCGCCGTCTCCGCCGCCGACTTGCTCGACAGTCTGACAGCATCTGCTACTGCCACGGCCACCACCACCTCATCCCGCCGCAATCTGCTGCCATGCTGCAACTGCCATGCACCAACACTACCACCTCATCCCGCCGCGTTCTCCTGCCATGCTGCAATAGCCTGGCTAGTGCCGCAATGGGTGCAGATTTTTGGTCCACTATATGCACACTTTTGCCCCTGCGCCAATCAAAGTGGCAGAAGGAGTGCGGTTGCATAACTTGCGGCCAGCGCTGGTGACCAATAACCCAATAGCATCAGAACCCTCAGAGTCGGAGAGTAATCGGTTGTTAGACAACAGCTGCGCCTTGACATCGAGTGTGGTCGTCTTCCTGTGCGGCTACTATGGCTCAAACCCCAAATCAAGGCGACCTGGGCGGTTTGAGCTACGTTTGAATTCATTCCTACAAATTCTCCCTCCCCTTTGGTCTACGTCTTTGTCAAGTCCGCGTCGTTACAATTGTACTTCATTACATGGGCAATCCGCACCGTCTTTCATCTCTGCGGTGCTATGCTTTCTACTGAGGCAATCCTCGCTCTAGTCAGTCTACTTGTTTCTGTGCCCTCCGCTATCGTTGCGATTTCACAATGGAGGAATACTCCCCAGAAACCCCATGTAAACCGAGAGCTTCCATGTAAGTATCCTAACCCCAACTAAGGCAACCTAACTCATATGCTGGAAACCGTTTATCCACTGGAAGCTTACATGATGCACATTCAGTCTACACCTTAAACACCCCACACCGACAAGTCAGCGAGGAGTACCAGCTGAACGTTATTTCGGTCCGTGGTTGGTCGTCGCAATTCGAAAGTACCTTTTGATGCCAATTTTTGATGCAAACCATCATAAAGGTCAAGAAAAAAAGCAACCGGTGTATAATGGAAGGCAGAATCAGCTCTCACCACCTCCGCCTTGTTGATCCGAAGTGGTTCACAGTGGCAGACATCGAACTCGCCCTTGTCGAAGGAGAGCAACCATGAAGAGGTATCAATGCACCTGCTGGGTCTATAAGTCATGGAAATTAGTAGCCAACGTCTTCTCTCAATTTTTATGTGAACATAGCATTTGGTGGGAGTACATGCTTTCGGCTCCTTGGCTCTTGGCGACAAAGCCTGGCCATGGGAATGTGTCCATAGGACTTACATACAGAATGTACATCACATGTATAAAGGATCATTGGCCAACTTCCCTATGCTCACCACAGACATGCCGTCTCAAGACGGCCGCCATGTCTCTCTCTAAGGTTCGAATGGAGCAAGAAGGCAAACGATATGTTATGCAGTATCGCTTTGCCCGCTATGACAACCTCAAGACACTGGTTTCTTTAGGAAACTTCATGGTTTTGATAACATTTCCTTGCATCATCTTGAAGCTGAACTGGGCTTTGAGTGAGATCAGTACCGTCTATGTTTCTGCGCATTTCTCAACCTCAGGCATCTCGGAACACATTGCAGTAGAATTTATTTCGAGTTTCACTAGTCGGGCAGTGTTATTTAGCTATCCAGGCAGTGTCTACACACACATATACTATCCATAGCCTATTTCTAAAGTAACTATTATATTTCTTATTCTCGTTTTCGTTATAGTTATTATTTATTATTTATTAGTTATTATTATTATTATTATCGTTATCGTCGTCGTCGTCGTCGTCGTCGTCGTCATTATCCCTTATTACTACTTCTATCGTTCTCTCTATAATCACGGATCAGAGGGGGTACTGCCCGGATAGCTAACGGACACTGCCCGACTAGCAAAACTCTTTATTTCAGGCAAGGTCTAGAGACGAACGATTAGAAGGCCATACTCCGCATGTTGCTCTTTGCTGACATTTGAGAAAGAGCCATGGGTCTATGTAAAATTCTTAGCTAATAAAAGCAATCTATCACATGATGTTTGTTCCTTTCGACGCACTCATGCTGGCTTATTGCTTTTCATCATCGCAGTCTCCATGCGACTCCGAAGGGGTATATGTGCATCGGGCGGTAAATAATCACCCGTCCTCCCTAGGCGTCTCTTTTGCCTACTGGTACACTGTCTCTGGTCAGCAGACGGTTGTGCCCAAAATATTGGCACGCGATGCCTTTCGTCTTCTAAACGAGCTCATCATCGTGCACAACGCGCCTTTGGGTCATCATCCGGTACCGTGGCATCGCAACTCTCATTGTCTGCAGCCCAGGCGGACCGAAACTCGCCACGCCGGTACAGGCAAAATATAGGCACACCGCACCCGGCATGAAGGCATATTACCCTCGGACCGGAAGCATCATCATCCCACCCATCCCGACTCCCACCACCCACCCACATTGGCCAACGGAACGCACTCCGTCAGCCGCGGCCTCGTAATCACCGCGCGCCGGAAGCAGCGACCTTTCTCACCGTCTCGTCGATGATGTCGATCTTCAGGCAGGAGAAGTATAACAGTTTGTTCAAAGAGGGGAGGGAGCTTGAGGGTAAAAAGCAAAGGAAAACAACAAGACGCAAACCGTCTTCCTTCCTTTGTCCAGCTCCGTGCGTTGGGCTTGGCGAGAAGCATCTACCGCGGCACACCCGCTCGTGGCCGCCTGACAGCTTCCCGAGAGACAAGCCACGATCTTGGGTGAAGATCGGCCAACACACGCAAGGCGCAGTGGTAAGGCGGAGGGGAGTGGGATCGGCGTCAAGAAGGGGGGTGGATGTATTGTTGATTCATCTCGGGATGAACGGGAGAGATGGGGAATGAGGCCTCCTCGTGATGGAGAAAGAAAGAAGAACCGTGATGGAGACGTCTGGGGAGACAGATAGTTTGGGAGGCGAAGACATGAAAACGTCTGTTAAACTCGCAAGGCCGGTAGAAGCTCGTTGCCAACGTCGATCTCTTCCTCACCTCGGACAATCAGGTCACACACACAGTCCCATCCAAAAGTCGGAAAGAAAAAGAAAATTTCGCTGGTATTGCCAAGAACGTCAGAGACATGCGTGTGAAGGATGAAAGAAGAAATCCCCAATTAGATGGATGGAAGAAAACGGAAAGTGGGTTAAGAGAGAGAAAACAAGGTTGTCCCTCGTGGGAAATCGTACGTTGGGGCGCGTTTTCCCTCATAAACCACGTTTGCGGAAATGTGGTGATTTGAGGAAAACCTATTTACCGTGTTTGGGCGTTCCTCCGGATGTACTATTTTTTGACAGGTGTCAGGCGGATTAAAGTTGCCTGCCACGAGAAAAGAGCGGTGTCGGAAAAAGACGTGGCTGTGGCTTTGTGGGCTTGGGATGTCATTGAAGTGTCATGTGGCTATTCACGGTGGAAGCGAGATATGGAAGCAAATATTGTTGATTTGGACGATACTTTTTTGATTGTTCTCAAAGCAATCCTTGCCCGATGCCCCAAGAATGGTTTGAAAGGAGTTCATTAAAATACATGGCTCGTCATATAGGCATGGTTGCCAAATTCATACGGGAGAACATTGGTAAGTGTTTGCTCGTGGGGGTAGACACTTAACAAAGGAGGGATATCGAAGAGAAAGGATGAAGGAAAAGAAAACGGCCCCTGCAAAAAGCTGCTCCCACTTCTCGCGTGATCATGGATGAGCAAGCAAAACAAGAAAAAGAGATGCCGGATTCGAGTTGAAGGAGAAAGGGAACGAGTAAGAAGAGAAGAAAAGAAAAGAGTCATGAAGTCGTGAACAAGGAAGGAAGAAAAGAAATCGGAAGCCTCTCCACCCAGCCATGCGCCTTAGACTTTCCCGGCGAGGTAGAGGATGTTTTCCCTGACTGCATCCGTCAGATCCCCTTGTCCGGTGTACACGTAGGCCACCGTGCGGTCCCAGACCTCGGGATAGGGCAGTGGCAGATCGATAACGTCGCCAGCTGTAATGTGGCCGGAGACAATGAGGGCAGCCAACACCGGCAGAGAGGATCGGGCGTATTGGAGATCTGCGGGTGGGTTGGGGTTAGCTTGGTGTGCTTGTTCCTTTCTTTCTGTAAGAAGGTTCGCGCCTCGGGAAGGAGACCGCCGGCTTTGGAGGCTACGGCCTAAAAAGGGCTGA